CCTACACTCTCTTCTTCCTTTCGGCGACTGTTTCCCCAAATTATGTGGCCCAGGTTTGTACACCGTCATTTTTGCATCTTTCATTTTTTACATGAAGTTTTTTATAAACAACGACTGTTATATAAAAAGTATTTTGTCACATCAGTATCCTTTTCCTGTATACAGATAACAAAAACTAAATTAACGAGGCAAATCATTATTAATTTTATGCCTTCATGAAGGATAAGTCCAGTAATTTTTTTTAAAAACGGTTTCTAATTTTCAAAAAAAATATATTAACTGGTAGCTTCAAAAGCTAATCAATCTGAATGACTATTTTACATTATTCTCCATTCTATTATACAGAAGCTACCTTGCTCGGCCACCACCTATTCCTTGCTATACAGTTAAAGGATGCCATTCATAGAAAAAGTTTGACTTCAATCAGTAAGTTCATAAGTTTCCTAAAGATCTGGCTAACGGAGAGGACTTAGAAAATCCAAAAGACCTAATCACCTCATGAATAAAGGGCTATATAAGGTGTTATCTCTTTAAGACCCTCCAAGATTGTTCAAGCTGTTAAGCTCCCGGAAAATCCACTAATCAACATGAAGTAAGATCAATCATAAAACAGACTTTTTCGCCTAATATACTTTATAATTTTGGATAAAAAATTTATTTTATTAGATTGCCTTCAGATCATAACATAATAGATCATCAGATAAGATCTGATTATGGCTCCGAAACCTGACAGATGACGGCTCTTCGTAAAGGTAAATAAAAATAATTTCTCCAAAACACCTTATTTCATAGTTCACAGAGTACAGGCACACCTGCATATGCACAATCTATCATACAGTTTTCAGTGAGACGTGTGGTTAAACTTTATGTTCGAGTTACTTTGTTACAAAGTCTCCCTTAGGTTCCCAGAGTTTTCTTTCATAGCTGAAAAAGGTTCTAGAAGGAGTGTCATCCTTCATGTAAAATGTTTAAATGCACAGATTTTCCCTCATAGGGTTCTAAAATGTCTTTTTCGGCCCACTATACTTGTGGAACAAACCGAAAAGTATCCTTCACAAATCACTTTTGAAAGGGCCAAGAATTGAGATCCAAGAAATGTACGCAAGCTTAATGAATGCATAGCCTAGTCATAAAAATGCTGATTTTCCGAGTCATGCTCTCTTCAGGCCGATAAGAGCATGCCGAATTTGAGACTTTTTAAAAATAAAAATCTTTTTGTGTGAGATTTAATAGTTTTCTAAATTTTTAGGCAAATTCTTGTTATCGATAGCATAGGGGAAAATGAAAAATATTTTAGTGGTATTAATAAGGATTGGAGATATGAAGAGTTTCGATGAATCTCTTGAGATAGCATTATTGTTGTGACTTTCATCTCGAATGAAAGTGCAGTAAGAAAATATTCGAAGGTCGATCTCACCAGAAGAGGACGGTTGAATTCCGTTGTACTGCAGCCGCTTAGCTTTTATACGACGTTGAGATTGACGCAGTCCACGAGGCATCCTCCATTTTTTCAGGTCAAAATTGACTGAGCTTTCATCCATCATATGATGTGCATTATCAGAGCTGGGACCCATTTTAATAAAATTCTTAAGATAACACTAAGACAAGAATAATATCTGGCCTTATCTCATCTCTTATATAGTCCTATTTAACCAAAATAGATTTTAGAAAACATAGAATGGTTTTGTTGATTATCCTTATTCTGGTCACCTTCTTTTGGATCAATTGTATCTAGCCAAAAATTTTGGGGTTAGTATTGACTCTTCCAGGAAGTGTTCCTTCAGTCTTGCCTGGCTCCCATCTTGGCGGACAATTATATGGCAAAAACTTGATTTCGAAGACTCCTTTAATAGATGCATGTTGGAGTACCTTTAATTTCGTTTGAACAGGCGAGTCCAAGGGATTAGTAAGTTGGTTCCACCGGAGGCTGTAGGGGGTTTGTCTTGTAGCTGTGGTTATAGATTTTCGGTTTACCTATTCTTGATGCCCTAGTCAGCAAAGAGGTGACCAGATTAAGCAAAGATGTGTATAGGAAACCTACGAATGCAGGTTTCCTATTGAATTTCTTCGCCAACCACACTTTAGGGTTAAGTAGAAGATCGACCTTCGAATATATTCTTCATGAACTTTCATACGAGATGAAAATCTCAACAATATCAATACGCATTGCCCTTTCAAAATAGCAAATATTTTGGCTGGGATAATAATTTGAAAGCCCTTATGGACAACTTGGTACAAAGAAATTTTAGATAAAATCTGAGCTAGTAGATCTGCCTGAATATGCTAAGTTAAAAATGGTGCACTCACAATGTCATCATAGCCCTGAAAGACCTTCTTCTGTATCGGATGAACGTATTTGCGTAGGATGTGCATCCAATGCCCCTCCCAGTCCACTTGGCGCATATGAATATCACGCGTGGGCACATTCTCGTAGCCACCCTCCAGCCTGGCATCCTCATTTTTCCCCGATGACCACTGGCCAAAATACTCCATTTCCTCCACAATTTGCCGGCAAAACTTCTCCGTCACAAAGGGAAACCAGAATACATCAGGACAAGGCTGCTCAAAGTCGCTCAACTGGAAGCCAGTTCCCACAAGTTTAGAATAATTAGGATGAATATACTGCTCTTCCCAGTCCTAGAAAAAGAGAAAAAAGCGATTTCAATTTCGGCAAAGGTAAGGTGTGATTTTGATTCAGAAAACTTCTCTTTAAATTAATGTCGAATGCTATTGAATAGTAATAATACAAATTAAATGAGCAAGACATATTTTCTTGAGCTAAACTTGTGAATTTACTAGAAAAAAATAAAGAAACTTTAATATACAAGAAGACTTACCAGCGGATTGTCGATAACCTGCCACAGATCATTGTACAAATGCGTGGTATTGTATGAATCAGGAAATATAAGATAGCCAAACTCCTCTCGATTATCCAAGAACATGAAGATATTCTGTCAAAAAATTGAATACAATTAAAAATACGTGAGAAAGAATAAGATGTATAAGTTTCTTTTCATAGAAAGAATGACAGAGGCTGACAGAAAAATATTTATTCCTAATAAGAAATAAAATTAGCCAGTAGATCTTAAATATGAATTGTAGTTCTCATAAATCGTATGAAATGAAAAAGAATTTTATGAGAATATCCAACAACATGTATATAATATTATTTTTTAATCTATGGCCACAAAACACAAAAGTACTTTATGGAAACTATAATAGTATGGTTAGCTTGTTTTGATATAAAAATTACTTGGGATTCATTAGATTTAATACTCTTACATTAACGCCTAACATGTGTTTAGCAGGAAATGTCGTGAAAGCGTTTATATTAAAATGAATGAGATAAAAAACAATTGTTTGTTCGGGAAGCACAAGTATTAAGGAAAGAATGAGTCTATGGAGGATTGATAAAAAAGACAAGGATTTGAGTACAATTCCCAATATGTGATAGTATGTGCAGACATAAAAAGATAGTAAAGCCATTGAGAAGCCACACATTCACTATGCGACAGACAGCATCTAAGATAAGAAATACTAACAAATTTTAGAATTAAAATTATGCTTAATAGCACACGGCAAATTCATACATTGCTAAAGAAATAATAATTTTTGTAATTTATGCTAATGTTGGATTTAATAAAACACAGAAAACTACTAGTTATTTTATAAATACTTGGATAGTATGTAACTTTAAAAAAAATTATTTGACCGAATAGATGAGAGAGTACGGAAGAGGAAAATTCAGTTAAGGCCAGTAAAGAGTAAGAAGATTCAAATGACCTCCATGCTCTACAGCATTGCATAAACCAGTAAATCACACTTACTTTTTTTCTGGCGGCCTCAGCAAATTCCATGTCGCCATCAAACTTAGAACTTGGTAATTGGTTGCGTAGCTCGATAGCGGCCCATCTGGACAGAAGATAGGCATCATTCACAAAAGGCACGTTCCATAGCCCACTAAAGATAGAATAATAATGTGGAAAATAAAAAATAAAATAGGTTGTATGAAATGCATTCACCCCATTTCTTTTAAGGCGATAAAGTACTGATAGTTGAATTTACCACATTGATATGAGTAGAGCTGATCCTTCCATCGAATTTAACATAGTCTTGCTTCCCAAAAGGTATTATCATCCAGGTTGGACTGCCATTTCGACTTCGCCTACGTCTTATAAATACCTCCATCGGGAGTCGAACCATGACAGTTTAATATGCAATCTCGACATGTTAACCACTATATCACATTGCCACGAGTGCCCTTAAGTCATAGGGCAAATGTGAACTTCGAGGAAGACATTTTTCCATACCATTCTTTGGTGGTACTGTCAATGAAGAAAAGTTATATGTGCTATGATAATAAACTATATTACTTATTTTCCGTTTATAAGTAGGGTGTATAGAGTAGCAGTAAATCGGTTAAGAATGTATTCATTTACTACTAGTCTCGAAACGCTAC